TCGTTAAAAAGAGTTAGTGAAGCTGAAAGGCCAATCACATTAACAGGGACGGAGTGTCAGGAAAGACAGCAGCAGCAAAAGGGTCGAATCAAACGGAAACTCCTCACATTTTAATTGCGGATGTCTAATTGCTCCCATAATTACGAGTAATAAAACTCATTCCGCCGCGCTGGTTTCGAATCGCAATTACTCAACTCCGCATTTGACAGCGAGGAAATATCGTCTTAGATTAGTGTCTAATCCCGCCGCCCAGGATCTCAAAGGGCTTTGAAGACGTCCTTGTCCACGGGCAGCGGCGTGGAAGGCCTGCGCCGCGGTTCAAGGGCTGCAGCCATTTTATTCTGGAGAGCTCCTAATCAGACACGGTTGAGAAACGAGGTTTTATCCGGCAGCTTGAGCCTGTGGATGATTAGATGCTCAGATGCGGTGAGCGGGGTTCGCAATTTGGCCGGCGCATGGATGTTGCCGTTCCAGATCTCTTCTCGCTGATAAATGTCATGTGGAGCCGGAGGAGCCAACCATCAACCAGGCTTTCATGACATGCCAAATCCGTGCTGCGTTCAAAGCCTGCAGGACAGACCGGCTTCAGTACCACAGATTACTGCAGGTAACTTATTGAACCGTGTGACTAAGATGTCTACCAGCTTTCAGAGGCGCTCTGTAAAACATTTAACTTGAAAATGAAGGTTCATCTGCTGCCTTGAAAATGCAATTTAAGTCAACAAGATGATTGTTTCGGTTTTAACTCAGAAATTAAAGTTTACGAAGTCGATTTAACAAGAAACAAGATGTCTAATTTAGCTTTTTAAGTTCTGATAGCTCATTAATCTCAAATTGGGAGTTCTAACTTATCTTTGCAATTTACAGATAATAAAACTGCCCTTTCATTTCTCTAATATTTTAACAATATCAAGTTAAAATAAATACTATTTTGCTTTCGAATAATTTAAATTCTTGTTTCAAATTCCATTTTTGAAATTTCTGACCTAATAATAAATTTTACTAAACATCACAATGAATTCTGATCAGAAAGATTTAGCGCTGACAATCAACCTCATGTCCGCCCTGTGAAATGTGCTAATGCCAGAACCAACTTAATGTTTCTATGAAACCGTGTCATGCTAACTAGCCTTAGCATTAACAGTATCATATGCTAGCAGCAGAGGAGCAAAGAGCAAGAAAGAAGTGAAAGGAGGAGGAGCAGCTTCACACGAGATTGTGATTGACAGCGCTAAGACCCGCCTTCTGGCTCTGATTGGTTGCTTCTCGTTAGCACTGGGAGAAAAAGTGACTCCTCTAATCCTGAAAGTCATTTTTAGGTGATAGAAGACCGACTTTATAATTGTGTTTATGTGTCTCAGAATATTCAGTAGTATTTGTATTTGCAGACTGAAGCTGTGTGTTGATTCTAGATTGTTCCTCTGTGCATCCAAAGACAATAACTCCTGTTTTGTTTCTGTTCAGCTGGAGAAAGTCACGGCGTCACAGTGTTCAAATCTTCCTTCAGATTAACTCAAGAAGCTAACAAGTTGGTTTGGCCATTTTGTTCTAGCAAAAAAAACTTATGTCTTTGTTGAATGAGAACATTTTCAACAATTCAATCCTCCCAACTTTTTGTGAACAGTTCAGAGAGAAATTAACTTTTTCCATTGGCAGATTATTTCACTTAAAACATGTGGAAATGTCTTGTCATAAGTGAAATAATCTGAGAATGGAACTAGTTATTTTTCATCAATATTAAGGAATTAATGACGTAAAATAAGCTCCCATATTTTGCTGAAAATGTACTTGTAATTAGTTTTGTCTTATTGAAAATGTTTTTGCAGAGGAAACTAGATCAAAAACATACTTAAGGTTTTGGGTTTTTACAGTGTTGAATCTGAGCTCAGACTCCGCCAGATAAGATCCTTGATAGCAAAGAGAAACCTCGAGTCAAGTCATCTAAATCGGGTCAAGATCTGCTTCCAGTTGCTTTATTGTAGAACTAGGAGATACAGATGTTAAATGCAGGAACAGATGGACGCAGACAGATGCATCTGTACTTTTCTTAATGAGCTTATTGCATTCTAATCATCTCTCTGGTGGGTCATGTCCGTGACTCTTTGCTTCTTTTCATGTATTTTTGCTTTGACAGACCGTGCCTCTCTATCTTTAGCGTTCTCCCCACTACTGCCTGCGCTGAAGCACGTTTTAGAGGTGTCAGGCTTTATCTCCTGGCCTTTTTTCATGGCTTTGTGTGGCGAGTGAAAGCCTGTCTGAGTCTGTTGGAGAGTCATTATTCGACAGGGGGTGAACAGAGGGGAAGGAGTGGGTGCTGAACGTGCAAGGCAGAGCCCGAGGGTTTGCTTTGACTCATGCCCAACATCACAGCCTTTATATTAATCCATATTTAATTAGACTTTCCTGTACCGCTCCATCCCTCCTTGTTTACCTTTCCTGTGTTGTTTTATGAGAGGGGGAGAAGCTTGTCACATGGGATTACGATTAATTAGTAGGAAGGGGGGGAAGGTAAAGCCTGAGGACTCCAGGGACGAGGGTGTGTTTCATTCTTCCTTTATGATCTTCTAATCTACCCCCAAACCTCTAAAAAAGCCAACCTGCTTGTTATTTTAACATCACTTTGTTGTGTTTGCAAAGAGAAGTGAGTGGGAAACGCGGCACATTTTAGGCGCTAATAAAGTGACAGAGATGCAGCGACTGATTTGCATTCATCAGGTGCTTCCGGGAACCTTTAGTGGAGAGATGATGTTCGGAAAAGTTGCCGCTCCGTTAGCTTCGTATAAATGTCTTTACCCAGCCTGTCATTGACGGATGTCTCAGGGTGACTGACTTTTCATCAGAGTCATTATTAAAGTGGGTTCTGCTCTGTTGTGGAGCAGCAGAGGCTCACAACTCCATTAAACTCTGAATAAAAAACATCTTTCCCCTTTTTCCCCCTCATTTCTAAAATGAACACTTCAATCAGCGTGTTGCCTTTGGGGAAAGATGGCAGGTGAAGGTCAGCTTAAAATTCAGTTGCATTAATTTGATTTTTTATTAGTCTTTCCCCCGATTTCAGCTGCGAAGAGAAACGCAGCGTTGGCCGGGTGTTGACTTAATGTCACCCATCCATTTTGCTTTCGCTCCAGTTGGCCTTGCAGGAGCCAGGAAAATGGAAGCTCGTTCATCACCGGGTCGCTCTGGCTCCGGGCCGCTCCACAGCACGGCCTGGACTCACTTCCTGGACCGCGCACATGAATGGTTCAGGCTTGCCACTAATGATTACTTCAGGGTGTTCCCACACCTGATAGTCCAGTAGACTTGGTTGATTGGGGATCAAAATTGCAAAATTTGTGAAGTTTTCAACTGTTGGGTTTCTGTTGTTTCAAAGGATCCAAACTAATTGGAAAACCTGTTCCCCTCCTCACCTGTGATGGCGCTGCACCTGGAAAGAAAGAAACGACACAAAAGCCTCAGAAGAAGCCTCTGAACACAACTTTCTCTTCACAAAACGTAAATAAAAATGGAGTAGCATCAAATTTTAGCGGTTGTAGGATTTTGTCTTTGGTAAAAAACAAAACAAAAAGCATGAACCATTTCTTCTGCGAGTTCTTGACTGGCACATTCCTTTTAGCGCTATTGACCCAGAATGCCAAGCGATTTCATCCACTTCCTGCTTTTGGAGCAGTCTCTGGTATGCATGATGTTAGGATATGCATTTGAACCGCATATCGGTTGAGTTCACTTCAACCGGGCCAAGGTTTGTAGGTGAACCAGAGTCCGTTCACATTAGTCTGATTGCACATTCACACCTCGCCAAATGAACTGGATTTTCTAGGTATAAGAACAAGAAGTTGATTAAAGCAAACTAAATAGGGTTGCTGTGAATGCACTCTTACTCTGCTTTAATTTGATTCCAGTTTGTTTGTCTAGAAAGTCCAGTTCATTTGGTGACGTGTGAACGCACAATCAAACTCTGATGTCGACTAAAAAAAAAAAAAACGAACCCTGGTCTGCCTACGAACCTTGGTTTATGTTTGATTGAAGTGAACTCTGGTGCGGTTCAAATGCGCAATGCGAATGACAAGCCCACCGGAGGCTGCTCTGGAAACAGGAAGTGGACTACAGCGCAAGGCATTCTGGATACATACAACCAAAACAAACAGAAGAGTCTAGCGCTAGCGAGAAAAACCACTTGTGGTCTTTCACCAAACACAGAAGAAAAATCCTACAACTGCAAAAATCTGATGCTTGTTTATAGGTTTTCATGTTTTTCCTTCAGTAGTTTTTGTTGCAGTGCCCCCACAGGTCAGGAGGTGAACAGGTTTTTCAAAAGGTTTGGTTCATTTGACACAGTGCAGTGAGAAAGAGAGCCGCAGCAGCTGAAAATGTAGCAAATATCAAGTAAACACCCAAAAGTAATCAATTATTCCATTGATTATTCTGACGATTAATCAATAATTGGATAAAAAAAATTGGCACATGCAACTGATTTTTCATTTAGCGTCTTTGTTTTTTCTATGCAATATTTTAAATTAATTAAAGGATGCAAATAAAAATAAGTTATTCAATTCTATTTTTAGACAAGAAAAGAAAAATTTTTTTCCCTAAATGCCATCATATAGCATTCGTTTTAGTGAAGCCACAGGCAAAGCTAACGCGGTTTCACTGGAGTTTTGGATAAAACATATTTATTGGGGAAAGTGTTTTTATCCTAAGTAGAAAATCGAAATATATTTGTACAGTTTTGACTGAATAACTGCGGTGAATGTTTTTTTTCAGTCTATATACTCCAGATTATGATTAATCGATTACTAAATTGACAATTAATCGCTTTGAATCCGATTAATCGTTTCATCCCATGTGGATATAGTCGAGCGTTTGACAGATTGACTGACAGCAGTTGTGCCATCTGTATTCTGATGGATATTCAGCTGGATGATCTGTGAGCTCATGCATTTTAAATGCAGCCGTTCATCGTTTTTTCACGTTTATCTCTCTTTTTTTTCTATAAAATGCAGAAAGGGATCCCCATCGGGCAGTTCTGCAAGGACTTCAATGAGAAAACCAAAGAGCTGAAAGAAGGCATCCCACTTCCCATCAAGATCCACGTCAAGGTGCGTTTCTTCAACCCATCTCTGACCCTTCTCTCTTAACACCCATCCCTCCCTCAAATGGGGTTAATCCCACTGCAAGCTGCATAGCATCACTGGAGTGCCTCCATTATTCATACTCCACCACTGAAGTAAGCCTTTCTATTTGCATTCATTAATGAAGCAACAATGCCCAGAGGAGCTTGGAGTCAAGAGGCATTAAACACACGGAGGAGAGGGGACTTACTCAGAAAATGGGTGTTAGTTTGCATTTTACTCCAGCAGATATTGTTTTGACTCGTCATACCTCCTCCTCACTTTGTGTGTTGTTTCAAATCAGGAGTTGTGTCCTGCCAGTCGGCTGAATGTGAGTTATAATGAGATTTGTGCTGAAAAGGGGGGGGGGTGAGCCTAATCCTTTAAAAGGCATGAATTTAGTCTCCGACGCAATATCCAGCAACAGCTCAGCCAGCACAGCAGGGGCTTACACATTAGTGCCATCTGCTGGTGGGAGTTGCTGCTCTGCATGCTGTGTTTATTATAGATGTGTTCGTTTTACTGCTGCATTTCAGCTGCGGCGCGTCAGCGGCTTCCAGCAGATCGCTTTAAAGGACAAATGAGCAGTTTGGGCAGATGGAGCCGAACATTTCTGTGTGTTAAATAAGAAATCTGAAGCCACAGGCAACAGATGGAGATGGCTATGCAAAACTTTATGCCACTCCTCACATTTTCAGCGTGTTTTGTTGAGTTTTATCGAAGAGATAAACTGAAAATGATCTTCATTTATGAATTGTAATGGAAAGGACTCATGATTTTTATTTTTTCACTAATGAGAACCTGTAAAATGTGGCTTTAGGCTGAAGAAAATTATAAAATGACCTAATTTGTAAATGATTGTGCATTTATTGCAATATATTTGAGGGTTGGTTGGTATGGCTGAAAACGCATCACAATAATTTTATACGTAAAAACTACTGATTCATTTATTTATTTCAAATATCCAAAATGCTGCCAAACTGGTGATGTGGACTTAATTTTTTATCCATAGTTTCCACTTGAGCTGTTCTACTTTTCTCCTCTTCAGTCTCTTTCTGTTTAAGCGACAGCAGCATGGCGCTGCATTATGGGCATCGTAGATACAAGAGGTATAGCTCAATTAGTGTCAAAAAGCAAAGATCTGTAGAGATTTGTAGATGTACACCATGGTTCACAATCCATACATGTGTTCCTCAACATTCACATATATGTAAGCAGTTTCTCCAATTTACACTTTTCAAACAAGTAGAAATACAGTGGAGATGCAACTCAGCAAATTTGCAAGTTCACAGATCATCTCGCATAATGATGTAATTTAAAGAAATTACAAGATATTTTGTGGTTTTATTGTGACAAACAGTATAAAGTCCCGGGGGTGTGAATACTTTTTTTGATACACTCCACACTTTCTGGTGATTTTTACCCTTCAGACTGAATTTGAGCTGCTCATCTGTATGCTGTGCTCCAACGTTTCAGCTGGCAATAAAAGATCACTGTGACACATCACAATGCATAAATAAATATTGAATCAACTGCGGCTGTGCCAACAGAGGGAGCTGCATTGTCCTTCTCTCAGTCTGCAGACGGTTTGTTCAGCAGTTGCTCTTCTTCGGTTTAATAAAGACTGAGAAGTTCGAGGTACATTCCTGTTTAAAGACCCTTGTTGCTGTGAGACTGATGAAGATGTAACAGTAGTCATCAGTTAACAGGCGGCTGAGTTCATCACAAATATGAACAAGGTTAACAGATAAATATCACCAGGAGCGGTGACGGTAAATGGATGCCTCTGCATGAGAAACTAGCGTTTTCTTTTTAAGTTGTGAGCAAAAATAATGCTAATACGTTTTTCTTTCAACGAGCCACACTTTCTGGTTATCACTCTTTAATCAATACTTTTCCTGACTTATTTAAAGCTGCTTTGCAGGTTTTCCCACGTACAGAAGCAGAGCAGAAAATATTTAAGCTCCATCAAGGTCATTTCAAATCATCTGAAAGCTGGTGTATAAGGAAGTATCCACTGAAGGATGATGAATAAAGCTGCAGTATGTAACTTTTGTGAAAAAATTTATTTTACAAACTGTTACCATGTCATAACAGTTTGGTATGAGACAGAAAATCTGTGAAAAATGTATCTCCTCTGTCTTCTCCCAGTGCAAACTGCAAACAACCAATCAGAACTGGGAGGCGGGTCTTAGTGTTGTCAATCACCCTCCGTGTGGCGCTGGTGACTCTGCTAAAGCCACCAATCCCAGCGGATAAACGGTTTTCCTGTAATGATAAAATGTTACCAACATTGTCACATTTAGCAATGGGTACATAAGGTTGATTGGCAGCGCTAAGACCCTCCTCTTGGCTCTGATTGATTGGTTTTGGCTGCATTTCTTCAGACGGCAATAATAGCTCAGGGAACAGGTGGAAGAGATCAGTCCTTTCACTGTATCTGTCTCATACTGTAATAAATCTGTAAAAACACATCTTTTAAAACAAAAGGACCTTTAAATTCTGTATCAGAAGTATTTCTTAGAGACATGCCGTTCAGATACTGTTCATCTGCTCTTAAGCCATTTGAGGACTGAGAAAAACAAAAACCACACAATTTTTGCTAAAGCAAAGAGAATTACAATTCCAGCCATATCTTCAGTATCCGTACAGTATTCATTGCAATACAAACCAGTCAGATATGATGTTCATATTTATGTAATATTAAAGAGAATAAATCCACATTCTGTATTTTTTTACTTCCATTTGGGTTTCTGCTGCTCCTGAAAAATACTTAAAAAATAAAGCATAAAATAAATATACGTTTTCTAATGCCTTAAAGATAAGTTGTTTCAAAAACCTCCGGGATGTAACCAATCAGCAGGCACGGTTACCGAGCAACCCCAGCAGAGCTCCACCTGTCTCCTAGCAACCCACTGGAGGGCGTGGCCAAACAGACTAAAATCTCATTATTTGTTCACACAAAACCTAATGTCATGTACCCCTGAGCTTTCCTTATCTGCTCAAGGAAGCATAATAAGTAACATTTGTTAGTGTTGTAATATTAAACAGCGTCTTTACATTAATACAGTGGTTATTAAAACATTTCAGCCAACAACCGAAGCAAACTGATATTAGTCTGGCAAACAACCAGTTTTATTTTAGTAATTGCTGAAACTCGTGACGTAATATAATGTTTGGACAAAACGAGGCAGATACCTTCATCTCCTTTGCTGCGCTATTTTAGTTGCTAAGATATTCAGGAGTATTTCTCACAATTGTTTTTTAAAGATGTTTTAAAAACTCCCGCGCAGAAGCTGTTGCTATTCTTTTATTTATTTTGCCCCTCGTCATTAGACCCCCGGTGAACATGCTTGTTTCATTTTATAAAAATTATTGAAAAACTCCTGGACAAGAAATAACAAGCAACAGCTTCTACCTAGATGGAGAAAAATTCAGTTTCCTCTGCTGAAAGGTCACTGCTGGTAGATAACTCGATGCTGATGACAAATCACCAGCTCCGTCGGGTCGCCTCAGTCCAGCCCACGGTCGGCTGTTTGCTGTTTTATATGAGACAGATAAAAATTGATCCAAAGCAAAGTTTTCACCAGATGATTCATTGATTGGATCAGTGTGTCGGTTTTTGTTTTTACAGCAAGGTGGCAGAGAAAAAAGGGACAGAATAACTCAGTGAGGCTGATGAGATTATTTTTAGTTTGCTCCTGAGGACAACATGGAAAGCAAAAGAGGAAAATAGAAATACAGCCAGTGAGTTTATTACCATTTTATGAGGATGTGGGGTTTTCTGTCGCCTTCAGAGTTAGCTGGGGTGTCTTATCAAATTACCGGGGGATTAAATGAGTGTAAAAGACGCTTTTAGTGGAGATTATTCACACATAACAAGGTCCAAACTCAGTGGTTTGTTTCTGTCTTAAAAGCTTTTCCTGCTGTAAAGAGAACCAGCAAAGATGTGAATAAAAATAAACTGTTCTTCTGAGGATTCATATGAGACCAAAATAATCTAAAGAGGAGCAAACTTAGCATTTTAAATCTTTTAAAACTTGGCAAATTATCCAAGGTTTGGATGGAAACCAGCATCTCTGCAGATCCTTTAATACAGACGCAGTCATGTCAAAAACTTAGTTCTAACTTTGGTGTTTACATTGAAAGTACGGGGAAATCAGTGACCAGGTTTTGGTGATCTGGAGCAGACGCTGCAAATGGGGTTAAAAAATAAATAAAGAAGCAATAACCTTAGATAAGCAACCCAATTAAGAAATGCCATTGCACCAGAAAATACAAAAAAGTCATTAAAAGCTAGGATTTATAAATGGACTGAGGCTTAATATATATACATATATATATATGTTTCACAGAAAATGTAACAACTTTTAAAAATAAAAAATGCAAAGACTCTTAAAAAAAATCTCCAAAGATTATTTGTTTTTTTTGTTTGTTTACTGAAAAATATTTGTGAGAGTTATGAAATATTAGTTTAGCAAGAAACACAAAATATATAATTTTATTTTCTCAAAACAGAATAGAAAAACAGGAAAATGTTAAATAATTATTTTACAAAAAACATTCATCTTTATTTTATTGTTTATTTATAAATATATTTCTATAAAACACAGAGAAAGGAAATATAAAATATTTTCTTTAAATGCAAAAATATGAAGTAAATACAATTTAATAACCTGATGAAAAAGTTCTGGTTTTGGCCTCAGAATTGTGTCAATTTTCAACAATTGTTTAAAACAGATTCAGTTTGAAACAGAAAAACTGTCAACAGACGGGCCGATTTTCAGACTCACAAATGTTAAAGTTATCGTAAATCAATGAAGAGGATTTCTCTCCTTCTTCACCACATCCTGTAAAAACAGAGCGGAGGACACTTCGCCCCCGCAGACAGAATCGCCTGTAGGTTCTGGGCTCCAGATCGCTCCAGCTGGTCTCTCGTTTGGCTCTGCTCCTCGGCTGTTTGGTATTCTTGCCTTGACTCCGGCGATCTTAACCAGTTACTGAGCAGAGGTTGTCATTACACAAGAAATAAAACTGTGCACAAATTAGTCTCCACATATTCACTTGAATTCACTAAGCCATTACAAAACATTATTATCATTTATCGCTAGACAATTTCAGCGAGTACCGGTTCGATTCCAATTTCTGGGGTCACAATTCAGAAACAATTTTTCTATTCAAATGGTGTAAAAATTCTGTTTAAATGATGTGACTGACCAGAGGAAAAGACAGTAAACAAACTGAGAATTTATATAAATCAGTTCAGTAGCAACACTTAGAAGTAGCTCTCGCCTCGTTCCTATCTAACTTATTTTTGAGTTCTCTCTCCACCTCTGTGTAAAACTAAGATAAATATCAGTGGTATACACTGTAGTGCTTACTGCTGAACTAGCAAAATTAGCTTAGCTTCTGTAGCTTTTAACTGCTAGCTAACCCTTACGTGTTTGTCACATATACTTCCTCCACCAGTCACCAGAACCTCGTTATTCAAATGAAGTTTGTACATCCTAAAAAATTCATTTAAATATTGATTGTATGGGTCCATTGAATTCAGGTCATGTTGTACGCACTCTTCGTGTTCAATAGGTAGCTTGTTAACGTTTTCTCACATATTTCCATTATCTGTCTCATTTGGGTTGGTCTCAACAGCAATAATTTTATGTTTTCTTTATGTTTGTCTTGAAGCCACAGTTTATCTATGCTTTGCATAACATTTACCTACCAAGATGGCGGTTCAGTGGCACGGCTACTTCTGGCTCAGACTTGTGGGAACTATCTATTGCTTAAAAATAAATCAATTCTAGTATTTGTAAACTTTCTGCAAAATTCCATTGACATAGAATTAAATTTGTGGTTCTGATGTGTGAAATGTAAATGATTGTGATGAAATGATGAGTTTTTTTATGATGAATTGTTGCTCTGTCTCTGCAGCCTGACAGAACGTATGATCTGAAGATCGGCCAGCCCACCGTCTCTTACTTCCTCAAACAGGCGGCAGGAATCGCTAAAGGTGCCAGCAAGACAGGTGAGAGCGATGTGTCCTCTAACCTGACTGTGGCAGGAATCGCTCCATGTCGTCAGTGTTGAGATGTTTTATTCATGAGAAGAGGGAGCACTGCATCTCACACAGGAAGAAGATTTTTCCTGGATTTCAACCTTTTTGCTCCAAGCTATCTTCAACCTTGTTGCCAAACTCCACAGCTGGGTCTGGTCTCACATCCGCCTCCTACTCACTGTGTTTACTCCTTCAAACATTGTAGGAACGAAACGATTAATTGTGATTAATTGTTTATTGAAACAATCATCAACTAAATCATAACCTTGAGAATACAGACTGAAAAAAGGCAATTTGCTGAAAGAGCAACTCACTCAGAGCAACGATTGAGCCAAAACTATACAAAATATGTACACTTTTTTTCATTTAAGATAAAATAAAAAGAAAAGAAAAGACACCAAGTAGCGTCATCTGATTCAAATTCTGTAAAAATGTCTCTTATTAAGGAAGTTTTGTTATTTAATTATTAATCAGTAAATCCAAAAACTATAATAAACAGTTCTGGAAAGTCAAGCAGAAAGGTTGAGTTTTCTACATGTTGAAATTTGAAGAATTTTTTTAGCTGTAGATACATTATTTGCTACAAATGATCAAGAATAGCTAAAGAAATGCTATGTTCCTGATTTCAGGCAATAAAATGGGCATTCTCCAAATTAGGTGATTTGATTTTTGCATCTTTTAATGGATATATAATATTGTAGAAAAATATGTTGCTGAAGTGTTTCAATTAATTCCATTTTCTTTATCAGATTAACTGATTAATCGTCAGCGTAATCAATGAACTGATTCCTCAAATAAACATTAGTTGTTGCCATAAAACTTTCTCTGACTTGCACAAGCTGACAATTGCTTTCTCTTTTTCTTGTTCTAACTGTGAAGGCCATGAGACGGCGGGTATGGTGTCGGTGAAAGCCGTGTATGAGATCGCGAAGGTCAAAGGTGAAGACGAATGCTTCAAGATAAGGGACACCTCCCTGGAGACAATTGTCAAAACCATCATAGGCTCAGCCCGCTCGCTGGGAATCCAAGTTGTCAACGAGTAAGCTCAGAATCTGTAATCTGAGGACCAGTTCTGTCAGATTATGTTGCTATGACCTCAAATGTCCATTGGAGGTCAGCAGAGAAACTGTAAAATTATTAATACCGGATTTTTGTTTGGTATTTGCTCTTATTGAGCCTAATGCAAATGAAAAACATGTGCAGCAAAGCAGGTTTTTGCAACATTGTAAGTTTCTCAATGTGAAAAGGAAGGATTTTTAATTTGAAATTGGGAAGTCCTTGAGTTTTAAATCACAACTCTGACTTCATTATTAGTTCATTCAGCCATTAACGATCTGAAATTTCTTTAATTGGTCCACAAATTATTAATCTATAAAATAGCTAATTTTCACACAGCAATTTTGTACTTTTAAAATACAATTTATAATAAAAAAGGTAGAATTTTTTTTATTTATCATGTTTGGATTTTGATTTTGTAGAAAATCATGTTTTATTTTTCTGTGGAAATTCACTTCATTATCTGACTAAGTGTTCAAATCTAGGTTCATGTTGTTTTGTTTGAGGTTAAAGGTCATTTTAAATTCAATATACAATGATGAGTTAATTGATCAGACTATTTCTTTCAGTCAAATATTATAAAAATAAATTATTGAACCAACCAGTAATCACCTTAGTAAATAACATAAATATAATTATTAGTTAGTTTTGTTTTATTTTAAGTGTACTAAGCAATTTGCCCTTGAAACTAGACCAAAGATAATTATTTTTGCAGAGAATTGGTTGTAAACAAACTTCCTCTGCACCATTTTCACATAGACAGATATTTATCATTCATGAAGCTCCTCTGTTTATTTTTCTCTTCCTCATTATTCAGAGACATTCTTTTGCCTCCTTAATGAAATGCTTTTCAAGGAATCTGTTGAAACCCGTCAAACCTAACGTCTCGTGCAGCTGCAGCACATTATGATTTATTGCTTGTAACCTCAGAGGATAAATTGGTATTGTTACCTTGTTAATGGTGTATTCATCTGAAGATGATTGGTTCAGTGCTGCTGCAGCAAAGCATTTGTTCTCTGTCTGATCATCCAGTTTTATTAAGATTAAACCACAGCGCGACAGCTTTTTATTGCTCACACTTTTGTGGGTGAGTTGTGGTAAATCTGTGTTTCCTTGATATAATTTAGCTTTATTTTCTGTCCAGTCTTTCAGCAGATGAGTACAAAGTCTTCCTGGAGCAGAGAGAGGAGAAGCTGAAGGCGGACGCTGCTGCTGCAGCTGCAGCGGCCGCAGCCGAGGCCGCAGCAGTGAAAAAGAAATAAGAACCTCCAATAGTTTCCCATATTTGTTTATTTTGACTTTATACATGTACTATATTCGGTTAAAACCTGTTTAATAAAAGTTTTATGTGAACAAGGAGTTACCTGGTTTGTTTTGTCTGGAACAAATACATCAGCTGTGTTTCTGAAAGTATTTATGACTGTAGTTTATTGGTGCTGAAGAGTGGAGAAGATAATTGTTCTGCCTCTGTAGGGTTTGTATCTTTAGTCTCTTTGATGCTATTATCCATTATTAACACTTCTGGAAGCGGTTTGGCTCTAAGACACTTTGTGCAGATGGTTTCCTCCCTATTTCACACATTTTTTCAATCTTTCTGGGATCTGAAAGTTTCAGCACATTAATTATTGGTTAAAGTCTCAAGGATTCCTGATGCAAAGATATTTTTGATATTGTTGAATTTCAGAGGAACTGCTATCGTTCAGCAAATATCTTGTTTCAGCTTCTACCAAAAAAACTAAAGTTTTGTTTAATATGGGGGTGATTTTTGAGGGTACACAAAAGCAATTATTTATAATTATCAGTTCTGGTGTCAATAAACATTTAGCTACAAAAACGCAATGTTTTCTATTGAAAAACATGTTAATTTTAAATTTATTGAGGCTGAATAGCTTACAATCCAAAGAAAGTAGACAAGTCTTGGTCTCTGAAAGCACTGTTAACGATTTTAATATTTGAAGACATGTTACAAGTTCAGCATTTCATGCCAAATTATAATTTGTTCATTACAGTGTCACTTTGGAATTCAAACTTCTGCTTAGGATAAAAATGTAAAATAAAGAATTTATATAAGTATATATAGATATAAATGGCACAACAACCTCAACAGACCAAAGAAAAGTTCTTCACAGATTGAAATTGGTGTTAAATAACATAAGAAATAAAGCAAGAGTTGGCAAAAATAAATACATAAATAATAATAATAGAGTAACAAATAAAGATGATTGATTCCAGTTTCAGTGCAATTACTATTTCCCAATACTGAGGTCAATAAAGTACAACAACTTTGAGGGTTTTTATGAAATTTCCTGGGATGGCAACAAAAGAACTCTTGTTGACCTCCAGCGTTGTACGCATGCGCGCAATATCCCGGATGTATTCAGTATAATGTACTTGGTGCCGTGGAAGGCTGCTGCTAGCACGAACGGCCGTTAAAAGGTATGGACAGATATCACATTTGAAGCTTCCGTTTGTAACTTAAAAAAATACATATAGGCCGACATGTTTTTTTGTTGTTGTTGAAAATGTCACAGTGTTGCGTCGAAATCGAGCCGTATGAGACAGAGAATGAAAACAAATTAGCAGATGTGTTCAAGCTGCCTCGATCTCTCATTGTGACGTAGTTCACTACTGAATGACCTGAAAGAGTGCCAGTGTTTAATCGGCCTGGTAAAAGACTTCATGTAACATACACGTATGCTACCGTGTTAGCTTACAGATATAAGCTAATCTTATCGTAAATTTGACTATTTATAGTATTTATGTTAGTATTATACAGAGGTGGGTGAAGTACTCAAGAATAATAATAGTTGTAATGTACTTTTGTTTATAAATTAGGTAGGAAAAGGGAAGAGCTCCGCTTATGGCTTATTCATTGTTGTCATAGCAACTGGTTAGCAGCTGCGCAGTTACAAAGTTCACAGAAGTGTGACGTCACATGGTAGCCGCAGCCGTGTCTCCATCCTTCGACAGCCGAATTTGTTAAAATAAAAAAATAAATAAAATTAAAAAAATACATCACAGCTGCATGATTTCTGTGCTGACGCGTCATGGTTCGTGACGTCTCGTCTTGCCCTGTTACGTAACAGGTGGACGGGCTTATAAGAATCCTTTAGCTAAAATTCTGTCACATTCGTAATCGGTTGTAGTGGTAGCAGTTAGAAGATTCGAATGCAGAAAGATGAGTTTCTCGATTGTTCTTAGAAATGCGCTCCAGGTTACTGTGGACAACTTAGTGATTCCTGCAATCACTGAGTTTATCCACAATATTCCAGAAGGAAAGTGGGAAGATCTGGCGTCTGGATGTCCAGATGAAAACATCAAGAATAGGATTGGAGATCTGTTAGACTTCATGACAATGGTGTGTTCAGACGTGACTCTGGATATCATGAAGAACTGCCAGTGCCAGTACAAAGACTTTAAACCCAACATGAGCAACATCATTTCTCAGGCATTTGCTGCAGTCATGGGTATTGAAGAGGAGTTTCAGACGGAGAGCACAAAGATGTTTGACATGATTTTTTCAAAACATGTATTTTTGGCGGCCAAATCTCCTCTGGACCAGGAAGACCTCACACAGTGGCTCCAGGTGGGTCTAAGATTCAGCTGTTTGATGGAACACGTCACCATCATGATCCTTGAACTTCTGGAAAAGAGGAAGCAAATCGAACAGCTGAGAAGATCAACTCTTAATGCAGAGAAGTTCTCAGACATCCCATCCTCTGGGATGTCTGAGACAGACAGGAAACAGACGGTCCGCCTTTTTGTGAAATCACTAATGTCAACAAGTGTAAAGAAGGCAAAGGCCTGTTTCTTTCCCGACCACCTGGAAGCCACAGAAGAAAGGCTTGTGGGGAAAATCTGGGCCAGAGTGGAGACACAGGAATTTGAGATTAAGGAGAAAGACATCAATCGCCTGTGCCAGAAAGTATTTAAGAACATCACAAAAACTTTAGGCTGCTCCTCTGGAAGTACGCTGGCCCTTATTGAGCACAACTTAGTTGACAACGTAGTTGTGTCCTGTTTCGTAAAGGAACTGAAGAAGCAGCAGAAGCCAAAAGAAAGTTCTTTGAGAAGATTCGTTTCACGTGCCATTAAAACACTGACACGCAGTTTTACCAAATAAGACACCTGGAGAACAAGAGGAGCTGGTTCCACTGAAAATATCAAGAGTAGAAATGATAAAGAATGCTTGAGAAGACAACCAGAGGAAAAGACGACCTGCAGAGAGGAATATGTATAGACTGGTTGAGAATTGAAAGGAAAGATATGAGATGGAAGCCCATGTCTTGGGCTTCCAGCCCAAAGGTGAGTAAAGGCAAAGGTAGATGGGTGCCTGCAGAATAATAGTACAAGAAAAACTGAGGTGACAAGCATAGCAAAGGGACAATGATGCCTTCAAGGGTTTATGGAAGGTGCATGTAGAGAGATGTCAGTAGGGCAGTGTTTCTCAATTCCAGTCCTCAGGCCCCTCGGCTCTGCATGTTGCAGGCGTTTCCCTTCTGCCACACCTGGATTGAATCTGGGTTGAATTAACAGACTTCTGCAGTACTTGAACGGCTTCAGAAGAGGTCATGCAATCATTTGGATCAGCTGTTCTGGATCAGAGGCAGATCTAAAACATGCAGAGCAGGGGGCCTGAGGACTGGAATTGAGAAACACTGCAGTAGGATAGATAAGGATGCCTGCCAAGCCATTGAGAGGGACTGCAAGGCATCAGGAGCCATGGTAGTGTTGGTAGAGACGAAACTTCAAGAAGCTTCATCTCACCATCACTGAGATCCTCCTGATCAAAGCAGAGAAAGAGGAGAAGTGGATCCGAGCAGCAGGAGCTTTCTAAATGAAAAAAGAAGAGGAGGGCGGAAAGAAAAGGAAGGCCTGGGATCTCTACAAAGTGGCATCATGACCTTACGGCAGATCGTAAGGTCATGTGAGGTTGTGTAGAAATCGCTGGGCTTTATGAGGATTGTTGATTGGTGGGCTTTATGAGGATTGTTGATTGGAGGAGACGAGGAAGATGAAGACTCTTGCATTTTGAATCTGCCTCTGTAAAAATGTCAATTTAGTTAAAAATCCAAAGCTGTTTTTTATTGTCATTGTGAAGCTGTGTCAAGTATTCATTTTAAGATGCAAATTTACTTTTTTTTCTCTAAATGGTGCTTATGAGTTTCTTAGTACAGAGCCCTCTCGGGAACATGGGGAAAAATATTTTTCTGAAAATATACTAGGGCTCTGTAACGTATGACTGTATGAGACAGATAATCTGTGGGGAAAAAATTATCTCCTCTGGCTTCTCCCAGTGCTAACCAGAAACAACCAATCAGAGCCAGGTGGCGGGTTTTCACAATTTCTGGTGGCGCTGAGATTGTGCGGAGAGAGCCTTTGTAACAAGTCATTATATTGCTTAGTGGGTGTCACCACAAGGGGGCGCCTATTCCTTTTTTGCATTGTCGTGCTGTTGTACAGAGTAAGAACTCATCTCTCTTTCCCATGTTCTTGTAGAGATGATCAGTGATGGCGAGGTGCGGGGCGGTTGCCTGTCGTTATTGTTCTCATGTATGACATCATAATGTTAGCACGTGGAGAAATAAATCGAAAAGTGTGGAATACTTCAACAGTGTTTCCTGCTGTTTCTGGTTAGTGTGGCTAACCACCACTGCTAACTCCTCCAACCTCGCACTGCACCGGCACAATTGGCGCCCAAACATATTTTGGACCTTCCCTCCTGGATACCGATTCTTGGTCTAAGAAGATTTCATATTTGGGCATTCACTCACTTACAAGCCCTATTGCCAGTGCTGATATAAAAATAAAAGCAACACAAACTGAACATTGAAGAAAACAACAGTTTTTGTTCACAGTCCTCAGTTTTTGTTGCGCATATTGCATTGGACATTACCATAAAGATTAATAAGCTAAGTTGCCCAAAAAAAAAAAACACTTACAGCATATGAAAAGATGAACTATTATTTTTAAAAGTAAATATTTCTCAAAAAACTATGAATGCAGGGTGTTGCTGTTTTTCTATAATATCACATATAAACTGCAGTTATCAGAAGTATAAAAATTTTACTCAAGATGTAGAAATAGGAGCCATGATTCTGAAAGATACGCAGAAGTTGAGGCAGTTTATTCAAAGTAACTGGATTATTTGAATTAAACCAGAATTAAAGATGAATAAATATTCCATAAATGCATCTGGTTATCGTTTAGTGATTAATGTTGGAGTCGTGATTGCTTCCCGAACAATGTGGCTCAATAAACATGGCTGCAGTCCTTCATCAGATCCATTTTCCTCTTCTTCATCACTCCATCTGGCTGCTTCTAAAACTGCAGAGAAATCTCACACAGCTTCTGTGTGCTCTGCGTTTGCAGCTTATGGTTTGATTTACCCTGATTAGGTCACAAGATGGCGCTGGCGTTTCACCCAGCTACTAAAACAGCCACAATCTGCATCGATAATGAGAAATATATATATATCATTAAAAGCTTTTGTGTTCACAAAATGTAAGGAGAGCAGTTTGTCTTTTCAAATCATGTAAGTGTTTTTATTGTCTCAGTGACACTGTAAGTAATTCAGTTGCTTTATCTTGACTGAAAGGAGAGATGGATAGAGCACACAGAAACTGGGCACTGCTTCCACATATTTATACTCAAGTAAAATGAAAAAGTAGTGATCCAAGAAATTATAAGTAAAAAAGTATTTGGTTAAAAGTCTACTGGTCAAATTGTCAATCAATATTTAAAATGTACATCATCTGATGGATCAAAATATAAAGTTAAGTGGAAATTTTGGTATTTTAAGGACAAAAATTACAATAATTCACATAGGTAACAGAAAATAACAAAATCAGTTTCAATAATAATGATAAAAAGACTTACTAACTTTAACAAAAAACACATGTCTTTGGTGAATTATTGGATAAAACAATAATTTTTTTTCATTCAGTGGGTAGAAAATCCAGAAATTTTACTCAAATAATAGTAGAGATAGAAGTAAAAGTTCAGCTTGATAAAAATACTCCTAGAAGTACATGTTTTCAGTAAATGTTACTAATTACTACCAAACGAGTTGAAACTGTAAACCTCCATGTCTGTTTTAATTACTGAGTCTTCCTTGTTCCTTCCTAGTCGGGGTAGGATTGGATTTGCTGAAGCTACATTGAGGTTTGAACCCTTCCTGTCCCTTTGGCCTTCTCCTAACCTTTTTTTTTAATATTGTTATACACCACAGTAACTCGGTGGACTCCTTGAAGGTGCAGTGCTTGAATTTTCCAGAAGATAGCAGCAGTCAGCTGTGTGCAGTGATCTCACCTCCATCAAGCACCACTGCGGCAGGTAGTGCTGGAACAAAATGTTCACTTGCAGAAAAAAAAATGCAACGCCTAAGGCTTTGCATCATTAGATATGTCGAGTTTTGGGTTAAAAATTGCCTCTAATTCAATTTGTGGAGCAAATCTTATAGGGGGATGCATATTTGGTTTATTTTATGTTATGTCTCTTCATCTTTCGTGGCATTGTGGGATCAGGTTGTTCCGTTTCCATTTTTACTCCTTTTTTTTCCTACTGTACCTCTAATTTTAGCCTTTTTCTTTGCCAGCCCTCCCCTCCCTGATGCCTCTGAATAGAGGCTGAGAATAGACGCAAGGCTGTTTCCAGTCAGAGCAGGAATGCCTATATATGGAGCGCCACGCCACGCTCAGCGAGCCGCAGGTACATCAGCAAATATGGGCGACTCTGATTTGTAAAGAGGGGTGATGGTAGGAGGAAGGAGGGGGGAAGTCGTCTTCCTACTGTTATGAGTGTGTGTGTGGCCCCCCTGAAAAGAAGCCTCAATGCCAAGCGTGTGCGTCAGTCTGAGTCAGATAGTGTCTCATTCTGTCTCGTCATACGTGTGCGTCAGAGCTGTTGCTGAGCGAAACTCGCTCCGGGGGAAGAAACGCAGGAGAGTGAAGGGGAGGGAGGAAAAGATGATGATGGTGATGATGATGGTGATGATGAGGGAGGAACAGAGAGCTCGACTCTGACGACACAAATGCATCAGCAGCATTAAGTGCACTTTAATATAAATGCATTTGTATGACAACCAAATACACTTATAAGCATCACAATAGAACACTGGTTCACAATGTCCATTCTGCAGTAAATAATAGGAATAATAATAAGATGTTCAGAATATATTCCATTTTATGCGATAAAAATCTCTCTCTTCTGTATGTACAGACCAGGAGCTGTTTCATACAAATGTACAAATGTGTACAACCTTTCAGAAAAGAACATATGCCTACATCCTGAGACGTAACGCATATGAAATAGCTTTTTTTTCTTCAAATATCACACATACAGATGTATAATTTTTACACATGTATATTAACTTAGCCTTGAATAGCTAGAACGTAGGAATCAATCCTTTACTTGACCGTAGACAACTCTACGTGAGCATGTCGACACCATGGGAATTGTACCATTCTCAACCCGTGTCGTTTGGTAACTGAATAGAAATAGCACCCGTCCCCCCAGTTTTCATTTTTTTAAAACAAAACCTTTTTGTATTCTAAACCCCTCTCAAAAAAGAAGAATCGCTCGTTCAACATAGTCAATTCGTATGGAGTGCCGTTTGTTAAGTCACACTGTAAAACATTAACAGCGATGATTTTGTTTATTTGCCCGGTAAAAAAGAAAAAATGAGAATATTACATTTTCAAAGTCGTATTTACAACATATTATTCCTACATTTATAAATCTCAGAGTTCCAAACTAAATATTTAAGTCACAAGTTTAAAAACTAAATATTTAGTTAAGACTAAATGTTTTAGTCTGAGTCATATGTTTAGTTTTCAAAATGAAATATTTAGCTCCAAACTCTGACATTTATAAATATGTGGAATAATGTGAAAAAATAACTTTGAAAAATTAACATCCACTTTTTTTTTTCTCCATCTGGCTAAACAAACCAAATGTTCGCTGTTAGTTTTTCACCTCGTAAAGTTACAAACGGTATCCATAAATTTGTGCCTCGCTGCACCGCGCTCCAGTGGAGCCACAATGCCGACCGTCCACTCGCTCGGAGTGGATGAAGAGTTCAAAGTTCAAGGGCCGTTTCAGGCACACAGGAGCCGCTATAAGCTGCCAGCATTGCAAATATTGATGCTGCAAGAATATCCAGCCGACTGCCCCACAGCCAAAAGCAGGGAAGAAGAAGAAGAGGAGGAGGAGGACCCGATGAGTCCACATTCAGAGTCTTAATGTACAGTACAGAGTCGCAGAGGGTTTGTGGCATGATCAGAGTCCAGTTCTTCATGTTTTCTTTTTGTTTGCAAATCACATCGATACACAAGATTTCAGATGGAGCGATAACCATGAGATGTTAAAAATTTAAAAGTCGCAAACTCAAAGCTCAAAGTATCTCGGTTTCAGTTCCATTTCTGTGTTTTTGGAAGGAGTTTAAACCAGAATTCGTCTGGTTTTGTGAACTAAATCAGAAGATTTAAGATAAAAAATCTTTTTTCTCTCTCTCTCTCTCTACTGATTGTTTTCGCACTTAGGTTGTAAACAATTGTAAACATTTGACTTCCTGTAACGTTTGAGGTTTGGGTTTGCGTTGCTGCATGTCAGGCAAAAAAGTGCTATGATTCATCCCACTACTGAAATAGCAAGAAATGCATCATTTGTTTTTGTTCACAACAGATATTTCACTACGAGTGAATACACATACGTATCTGGAGTTTGATCGTCTCTGAAGCTCTGGAGTGTAGAGGTGCACCGAAAATTGATCTGCCAATCAGTCCGACCTGATTTTCTTAAATTTGGGATCTAATTTAAGAAAATCCGCTATGTTCTTAAATGCTGCAAGAATATGCTGATTGGGGTGGGGGACACTGTCCCCCAAGACATGTCCTGCTTGGGGGACCAAGCAGGACATGTCTGCAGACTTTATTTAGTAACATTTCAGGCAGTAAAAATCGTTACCGGCCAAAATCGGGATGGCAGGTCAGGCTTTTTTAAAGATCGGTAACCTGAAAACTGCAGTCGGTGCACCTCTAACTGAGAGGTCACCAAATGGAGCCAGAACCCAGGCAGTTCTGGCTCCATTTGGTCGTCGTGTGAATCTGGTACCAGTTTTTTTTTCTCTCTTTTTTTTTTTTTTTTTTTGCAATATTACACAGAAGAAATGACTGAACAAAAATATATAGCCAATCTTTGTTCTTAGCAGACATGTAGGAGATGAAGTCCTTAAGTTGTATATACATTATGTATATTTATACACTTAATTGTTTTTTACTTTTCAGTAAAAGGGTCTCCACAAAATATGACAATATGCCATACTTAATGAAGTAAGTCACAGACTTATTTTAGAACGGAGGAACACTTCCACTCCCATCTGAAAGACAAAAACAGACAGTAGAAGAAGAAAATTAGTGACTGGAATTTTTTACTTATTAAAAACAAGAAAGGTGAAATAAAACACAGGAATCGCTCACCTTTGTGGAAGCACTGTGGCGATGGATGACATTGGAGTTGATACAACTCAGGTTGTTGCCCTAAGCCAGGGGCGATCGAGGCACCTGCCCCAAACATGGGTTCCAGGACGGCCAGTTCCTCCAGGAGGGACTGAGTGCAAGACATGGCGGGTGTGGGCGAGGCGACGGGCATGGCGGCGGCAGGGCTCGGGGAGGCAATGAGGCTGAGGGGAGGGGAAGCCGGGATGGAGGAGCAAGACGACACGGGAGACGACGCCACCTCCACCTCCATCTCCATCGCTTCCTCCGCCAGCCCCTCCCCGTCCGTCGTCGCCACGCTCGCCCCGCGTCCGGCCACGGAGTTACATTGCGCCGATTGGACGCTACAGATGTGGCCCGCTCCCTCAAACTGGGAGGGTTGGTGCCAACACACTGGGGTGTGCGGAGAGGTGGGGCTGGAGGGGGCAGAGAGGTTGGGAACGAAGTCGTCTTGCAGGAGCGTTTCTAGGATGTTCTCTTCAAACAGAGAGTCATCGTCGTCGAGGAAGATGGGGATGTCCAGACCTCTCCACGTTTTTACGGGATAAAACTCCCTTAGCATGTGGACTGGATCTGCCGCTTCAATAGCCGGGGACAGAAAGGGCGACGGAGGCGAGGAGGAGGGGGATAGTTTGGACAAAAGAGGATCCAGGTAGAAACCCTCAGCCAGGGAGCTGATGTGTTGAGCCAGGAGGGAAATTTCCGCCCGTTCCTTTTCCCGCTCCAAGGAGAAGAAGGTGAGGCAAGGCTGTTTGCCGGGTGACGCCTCAGGGGTCAGCAGGCCTTCGGGGGGACAGTGGAGGGGCCCGAGCGGCACGTCAACGTAAAGCGGCCCGCGGACCTCTGGTAGAGTCATCACCGTGCAATCTCCGTCTCCTGGACTGTCGGGCGTGGGGGGCAGCTTCTCGTACAGGGCGCCGCTGCATGTCTCAACGGAGAACAGCAGGTCGGTGGAGAGGGCGGGCAAAGCCAGGGGCAGTTTGGTGGAGAGAGTGGTGGGTGGAGCAGGGTTGGGGTTTGTAGTGGGCGGTGCTGTGGAGGAGGTGGAGGACGCCAGCGAGGTGGAGGAGGTGGCAGTCGTAGCAGAGGGAGGAGGCGTTGTGGTGCCAGAGGGGTCGAAGCTGAATAGCGGCTCGTTGAACTGGAAACTGGTTCCTCCGACCTGCGGCGTGTACGGCGGGGTGCACACAAACTCTTTGGTCTGCTGAGCCTGAGAGGTGGGCAGCGGCAGCGGAGGGTCGAGTTGGAAGGACGGAGGCAGGAGAATGTTCTGGGTCAAAAAGTCCAAATCTGCTACTGTCTCCACCGTGACGGGAGTCGGCGAAGACGCGGCGGAGAGGGTTTCTGTGGGCGGTGGCTGGAAGAAGCTGTCCTCCTCCATAGAGGAGATGCTGGAGCGAGGGTCTCCCTCCAGCTGCATGGGCTCGGCGATGGAACTGCCCGGCTCGTCCGAGGAGCCGACGCTGCAGCCGGCCGTGCTGAAGTCGAAGGACTGGGCGGACAGACCGCTGCTACCGGGCGTGAAAACCTGGTCTGGACTGGACAGGGTCTCCGGTGACTGCAGGCTCAGGCCCTCTGGCTGAGACAGGCCAGCGCTCAGAACCAGGGTCAGCTGGGTCTGCTCGGAGCTGAGCTGCTGGCGCACCGACCAGGCTTCAGAGTCACTGAAAAACAGACAGCAACAGAGAAACCTGGAGTCAGTGTCAGAGTTCATTCATGTTGCCTTTAGATTTACTGTTTTCTTTCTCATTTTTTCCAACTGGATTCCTCCCCAAAAAATTTTATTCAAATTTAGGAATTTTTTATAGTATACCCATGAATATGGGTATTTAAAACGAAAACATGTGAAAATAAGTTTCTGCAATTTTGATGCCAAAGGCAAAACGCCTTGGTATTTTTTTTACTAAAACTTCTGTAAGATTTTTTTAGTTTATTTCAACTGCATTGGTCTCTGCGCAAATAATGTGGAGCCCTATTCATGACTTTTCTAAACGGTTTACATTCTGCATATTGCAAAAAACTATTCTGACAAGGAACCAAAAAAATCCAAATTATTTTATGTTCCATCCCCATTTTCTCTGAAACTATAGCAGTTTTATAGTGGCGAAAGTAAAACTGAAGTAGTTTTGCTGATTTTGCTGTTTTAAACCTTCAAAAAGTGGAGCGTTCTCACCTGATGATGTAGTTGTTGCTGCTGATGGGAATGTCTCCGTGCTGCAGCTGAAGCACCATGTAGAGCCAAACCCAGGACAGATCGTGAGCCTGAACACGAACCACCATCTCAGCTCTGCCCTCTCCACCTTCCCTCACTGTCAACAACAGTTGCGAACATGTTATGGTCGGTGTGTAATCACATTAATCATCATTGTGTGAATGTGCCAGTGGGCACAGTGTGGGCATGGACGGCTTAATTTGAGCAAACGGAGCGCTTACACAGGCTGCGGTGCTGAGCAGAGGCGTGTGACAGATCCTGTGGGTGGAGGAGGCCGTACCAGGAGCGGGAGCGTAAAGCTGTCACATCGTAGCCCAGATATACAGTCATGCTGCAGGGCAGAGTGGGAGGTAATGGGATTTTTCATGTCTTTATCCAATAAGCAGAATAAACTCGCGATTTCTAGAGGAATGAAGGGCAAACTCACCTGTCCTGTGCCGCCTGGAGCCTCATGTCTCTGCCGTGCTGGGAGTGGAAACACGCCAGAAACAGGTTGGTCTCGGCCAGCGGGGGGGCAGAGGTCACGTCCCTGTCTGGCCCCGACCCGGAGCGAGTGGGCTGGGGCTCCAGCGGGGTGCAGAAACACACCCACACCGGGTTGGAGGTCCAGTAGGAGCTGGCGGCGGGGGCGGCAGAGGGTGGAGCGACGCAGTGAGCACGGATCAGAACCAGCTTATTTCCGGCACTCTGCCTCCGCACCGACTTGGAGGTGTTGAAACGGCAGCGAAAGAGACGGTCTGTGGGGCAAAAGAGGGGAGGAAACTCATTAGAAATGAACATTTTAAATGTAGCAGTTAGTTATGGAGTACCACAGGGGTGTACGCTCGGGTCACTGCTTTTTATAACATATACAGGAAGCAGCATCTTTGTTTCACCACCTTGCTGAGCGACTCACTTGGTAGAGAAGTCAACTTGTAATCAGAAGGTTGTAAGTTCAAATCCAGTGAGGCACTTCAAGCCAAGTTGTCTAACATTGTTGTAGAAATGTTTGAATGTGGCTGTAATGTAAATTACTATAAGTGATCAAAATGGTTGGAAAAGAAATTTGTAACTCCAGTCCATTTACTGTTTCTTAAAATTAAAAGTGATTTTGGCAAAAATAAAAATTATCTATAAAGAACTGATTATAGGGCCAAATGCATTTAAGTGATTTTTTTATGCTTGCTTGCTAATTCAGCTGTAAAATTTGAAGTACCTTGTGCTTTTCTTTGAAATCTGGACTCTTATTTTGGTAGTCCTACCTTTAGAGGAGTCAAAATGTTAAAATTAAGGAAATGCCAAACATTAAATCTGCTGGTCTAAAATCTAATTTTAAGCTCCTGCATGACATCAGGCACAACATATGTTAATTTGTCACATCTAAAATGTTAGCGATGTAAAATAAAAATTTTACGATTGTTTTATTGTGAGGAGAGTGCCTCTGGTTGCCATGCCAACAGATGGTTGCCATGCCAACAGATGGTTGCCATATGTGCTGAGCTTTAAAAAGAGAGACAGTTTCTACATCAAGAAGCTGGTTTTTAGATGTGGTTGAATATGTTTATGATCTAAAGTCAGTCTTAAGTGAACCTTTTGTGTCAAAAAATTCACTGCCTCCTTCTTTCCAAAAGATGTTAGAGGCAAAAAAAAATAATAATACTTTTAGGAAGTTGATGGTGTCACTTTTGGGGTTTTTGCTAGAGTTTAGTGGGTGATTTTCAGTTTTCATTGTGTAATAAATGAATAATGTAGGAAAAGAACACGGTGTCTTACCCATCTCAAGTGATGGAGAAGCAGACAGGTTGGTCCTCATGATGAAGTGATCTGCAGTGTCGATTATATCATAAACGCTGTCACCTTGTGCCACAAGATCCACCTGAAACAATAACAAGACACCTGGTGTTAAACCCATGTGAAACAACCTTCCAGTGTGGAGGAATGCAGCAGCGGCGTGTCTCACCATGGAGTGTCCGAGATGCTCGGAGACGCTGTCAGACAGGTAGAGCAGCTTCCCTTCTCCGGTAAGCAGCATCAGGAAGCCCGGCATCGCCTGCATCAGCTCCGAAAGCTCGTGGAAAGACAGAAACGCAGCGCTCTCCTCGTCACCGCCAGCAGATCCCGCTTCTGGGAAGAAAGGAGCCAAACAGCTGTTAAGAAAGAAGCGAGGCTCGGAGGTTCCGCAGTGGAATCATGCAGTTCAGCACCGCTGACAGCGACAGCAGCGAGGAAACAGTTCAGCACCACGGACAGCGACAGCAGCGAGGAAACAGTTCAGCACCACGGACAGCGACAGCCTCAGTTTCACACTTTTATCAGCGACAGAAACTGTCTAATAACATCTACATGGGCTATAGATGCACATTTCACCCTAAAATCAGATTTAAATCACACTTCAGCTCGAACACTTGTTGATCCCCGCACTCTGCGGGAGACTGATCAACAGGTTGCCGTCTCAGTTCCTACCTTGAGTGAAGAAGACGGACTTCCTGGTGTACATGCAGGCCAGGGACATGATGTGCAGATACGAGAGACGCGCTTTGTCTGCATCAGAGATGGGCAACAAGTCCTTCAGGTTTCGGATCTCCGCGTTGATCTGGTCCCGTCGCGCCTTGGACGCCCCTTTGGTTGAGCGGTACATCGTGGTCTGTCGCTGCTGCGGCGAGCCGTCAGCGTCCCTCCGGGTGAAAAGTTGTAAAGCGGAGCGCTGTGAGAAGATCTGCTGAAGTTTCCCGTCGGAGACAGGTTTGAAGAAGTGAGGGGAAGAAAAAGATGTGCTATTGGACTTTCATCTCAGCTGTTTCTTTTTCTCCAGAGCAAGGTTTTTTGGTAAAAACCTTCTCCCTTCGTCCCTCCTTTCGGAGTGCAGGTGAATCGGCGGCTGCAGGTCGCCGTCTCTTCTGGCTCAGATGTCCGGAACCCGTAAATCTGGTTGAGGGACTCTGCTCGCCGGTCTCTTATATAGCCTGGGACTCCACCGGAGCAGGGGGGCTCCCGACGCGCCAACACCGACGTAAAACGGAGGCAGGAGGAGGGAGGAAGAGGGGGGATAGATATGCCTGATATGAATGCGATCCGCGCTGAGAGTCTCCCCCTCCCTCCTGCCCTCTCCTCTCTGTGACTCTTCTTCGACGTCAGCTCTTCCCTTTACTCGGTGGTGACGTCGGCTTGGAATCGGGAGCTCCGGCGACGCAAAAAGCCCGATTTGGACAAAACCGAGTAGAGGGCGGAGCCATCGTAAAAACGTAACCGGAGTCACCGGGCTCCGGTGAATTGTGAAAGGAGGAAGAGGAAGAGGAGGAGGAGGAGAGGATCTGTGCTGAATACGAACGAGGTCTCTGTGTTTATATGTCTGGCACCTGCCTGTTTGCCCCGGACCCGCCAGTAAACATGGCAGGTTCTTGTTAGACCGCATTTACTGAGACTAAAGGAGATTATCTGCCACCACAAGAGGCTTTATAAATATAAATCACTTCTGAAAATCTTCCTATATCTAATTATAATGACTTTATTTTATGTGCAGATCAACTTAAGCCCGTTTTTGATACATTCCAAGCAACAAAACAACCATTATTACAGCTAAATGTCGATTTCATAGCAATTCATGATAAAAACAATGCATGTTAGAATAAATAGTGCACACAAATAAACGACCAGAGTAATTAAAGATCAATTATTTCAACAATGACGTTCATTTCTGACTCAGGATTCTTATTATTGGTATCTCTTTTTTTTCCTGTTCAAAGTTACAGACAAGATTTAGAAAGTCTGAATGAAAAGCCTGCCCGTTTTTTAATGAATGGCGCTCATGAATTATTCCGCGTTTCTAAAAATAGATTTCACCGGTGACCGACATGAAGGAGCGCGCCGCGCGTCCCCGCGTCCTCTCCCGACTCCCATCCGTCCGATTCATAAAGAGCTGCAGAGGAAACACGAGCCGCAGGGTTTGTACTGCTCTGCTTTCATTTTACAGGACTGAAGGTTCAGGCTGGTTCAGTCTCCACGATTCAAGCAAAATTCAAAATCTGAGCAATTATATTTAGTTTAATTACTCAGATCTTTTGATAAATTAGGAATAATTGGATGAATAGTGTTGATGAATTTGTTCTTTTGTTATCTGAGATGATGAATAATCTCATTTCAGAGCTGCAGTGTTGTTAATCCGATGACTCAGCCTCTGTTTCCTCTTCCGCCTTCACCGATCCAGACTGGTAATCGCCTCAAGGTGCAAAAACAAAACAATCAAACACGAGTTTCAGGTTTGCACCTTCAGGTTTAGTGTTAAAATCTTTTGTTTAAATATATGTAATCTCCATCTAAAAATGCCTCCTGTTTGCTGGTTTTCGACGCCCTGCAGCGGAAAAACAGAAAAAGAAGAAAGAGGATGAGAAGAAAACAAAGAGTTTGTTTCAGGAAAACATTCAGTCCCATCTACTGAACCGAGTCAGAGAGGAATCAGTTCATTAACTCAGTTTACTGAATCAGTTCATTGAGACAAAATTACCATCATCCATCCATCCATCCTGTTATATATTATGTATAATTTTATTGACTTGTGTCTATATTTTTGTTTTAATTCGTCTTCATTGAATAAACTGTTTCACTTTTTGCGTTTCATACAGGTAGTTTCTCCTTTTTTTTCTCTGGCTGTAATTGAAACCATCTCCCTTCTGGAATCTGGTTGTTAATTGTATTGAATTTAAACTACTTTTCACTTCCCTGACACTTTCTTCAATAAAACACTTTCTTTCCGTTTAATTACTCCCGTAAAGAAAAAACAACAATCAACCTCTCCCAAGTCCAGACTCTAAATCACCTCAGCTCAGTTTAATTGCGATTTGCTTACTTGTGTGGTGAAAACTAGAAAACCTCTACAGTTTCTTATAACTTTTGAAGAAAATGTAAACAGATTATGACATGATTTGCAGAATGGTGACTTCTGAAATCTAATTTATTTTATTGTTTTGTTACAGTAAAAAGTTCCTTCTTTCTATGTAACTCAGAGGTTTGTTTCTGTTGTTTATGTTGATGCTGTTATTTATGGTCTGTGTTGAGCAGCCGGGTTGTGGAACATTTCTGTCAGGATTTATGTGGGCTGAAGAGGTTTGTGTTGTTATTATGCAGGAGCTCCCAGAACAGAAACACTCCAGGTTGTTTGTTTTTCTGCCGGCTCTTCAGATGTCCCTGCAGCGTCTCCGTTTTCTGCGTTTCCATTCTCACGGTTGTCATAAGAGCCAGAGAAACATGAGAAAATGCTTGTGGTGGCAGCAGAAGAGCGACAGGTTGTAGCGACAAGTGTGCTGTCTCCCTGACAGCAAATGGACCCAAATGGATCCAATTAGACGGCCGTCTTTGTGCCAGAACCTCCTGTTTGTCTCAGTTTTTATTTGGACTTATAATCCACTTTGGTATTAACTCAAGCACTCACTGCTTCATTTTCAGGCTTTCTGCTCCGTTTTTTCAGTTCAGTTTTTCGTAAATTTATTTCTTCTCTACGGGAGTAAATTTGTGCCAAAGTTTTTGTTCTTGCATTGAAGAAAATGATTCGTATTCATGACTTTATTAGGTGCAGTTTAACATCTGACTGGCCCTAATAATAATAAATTGTCCTAGAAGAAGTTTTTGCGGTAAATGATAATATTGTCATTTTGAGACCATTTTCAAGAAATATAATAACAGTGTAATAACACAAAAACACATTCTCAAAGAATAATAAACTTAAAATTCTAATTAACATTTAACACCAGAACTGTAAGACATTTAATCCAAAATAAATAAACAAAATAACGAATAAAATTAATTTTAAACTCTCTGTATACAAAATTATCTTTCGGGCTAGTTGAGACCAAACTTTTGTCTTTCAGTTTTTGGTGGACAGAGAGAAAAATGATAAATAACGGCAATGGAAATTACAGAGCTTGTTTTAATTTGTCATACGATTAATTGATTTAAACTTTTGTGGCTTGTGCCAGAATGTATTGATAAATCCTGTTGAACTTAAAATATTAATAAGTATTTATTTATTCTTAAAAGTTAAACAATAGTGGACATCTTGTCACGTTGACTTAATTTGACTGTTTGAGAGATTAAACTGTTTTTATTTGACTGATAAAATATTATTTTGTGTCCCTTTTGAGGTGTTTGGAAACTTACTACCACAAACACTTATGAAAGAAATAAACTAACTTAAACAACACACAATGAATGGCTAATAAAATAAAACAAACAAATCCAGAATCATTTTTAAAGAATCCGACAGCAGATGCTTCCCAGACTTTATTTATAAATTATGCAACCTCTGAAAATATGCAGGTTCTCTGGGGCGACTTGTGAAATATAAGAATGAACCCAGTGAGTCGCTGGCTGCCATGGCGACCTCCCTCTTTATTTGTGGAGCAAACGTGAAGGGGAGCTCAGAGTAAGACGCTCAGAGTAAGACGCTCAGAGTAAGACGCTCAGAGTAAGACGCTCAGAGTAAGACGCTCAGAGTAAGACGCTCAGAGTAAGACGCTCAGAGTAAGACGCTCAGAGTAAGACGCTCAGAGTAAGACGCTCAGAGTAAGACGCTCAGAGTAAGACGCTCAGAGTAAGACGCTCAGAGTAAGACGCTCAGAGTAAGACGCTCAGAGTAAGACGCTCAGAGTAAGACGCTCAGAGTAAGACGCTCAGAGTAAGACGCTCAGAGTAAGACGCTCAGAGTAAGACACTCAGAGTAAGACGCTCAGAGTAAGACGCTCAGAGTAAGACGCTCAGAGTAAGACGCTCAGAGTAAGACGCTCAGAGTAAGACACTGCAGAGTAAGACGCTCAGAGTAAGACGCTCAGAGTAAGACGCTCAGAGTAAGACACTCAGAGTAAGACACTCAGAGTAAGACACTCAGAGTAAGACGCTCAGAGTAAGACACTGCAGAGTAAGACACTGCAGAGTAAGACACTCAGAGTAAGACACTGCAGAGTAAGACACTGCAGAGTAACGCTCAGAGTAAGACACTGCAGAGTAAGACACTGCAGAGTAAGACGCTCAGAGTAAGACACTGCAGAGTAAGACACTGCAGAGTAAGACGCTCAGAGTAAGACACTCAGAGTAAGACACTCAGAGTAAGACACTCAGAGTAAGACACTGCAGAGTAAAACACTCAGAGTAAGACGCTCAGAGTAAGACGCTCAGAGTAAGACACTGCAGAGTAAGACACTGCAGAGTAAGACACTCAGAGTAAGACGCTCAGAGTAAGACGCTCAGAGTAAGACGCTCAGAGTAAGACACTCAGAGTAAGACACTGCAGAGTAAGACACTGCAGAGTAAGACACTGCAGAGTAAGACGCTCAGAGTAAGACACTCAGAGTAAGACGCTCAGAGTAAGACACTCAGAGTAAGACACTGCAGAGTAAGACGCTCAGAGTAAGACACTCAGAGTAAGACGCTCAGAGTAAGACGCTCAGAGTAAGACGCTCAGAGTAAGACGCTCAGAGTAAGACGCTCAGAGTAAGACGCTCAGAGTAAGACGCTCAGAGTAAGACGCTCAGAGTAAGACACTCAGAGTAAGACGCTCAGAGTAAGACACTGCAGAGTAAGACACTGCAGAGTAAGACACTCAGAGTAAGACACTGCAGAGTAAGACGCTCAGAGTAAGACACTCAGAGTAAGACGCTCAGAGTAAGACACTCAGAGTAAGACACTGCAGAGTAAGACACTCAGAGTAAGACGCTCAGAGTAAGACGCTCAGAAACTGAGCCGAACACAGTCAGCCACTGGGCAAAAACTACATTTTGCTTCTAAAACAAGCAGCTTTCAGATGGATGTTAGAAATCTGGTTTTGGTTTTGAGAAAAATTGACCCAAATATCCAAAAACATGTTCTGATCAGCAAGTCTGCTGCAGGTAAACACCAGAAAATACAAACAAGTGCTTTTTGTGGTCCGTTGGCTGCAACAGGATTTAATAATTTAACTTTTATGACTAATGTTGCTTGGAGAGTAATATTACTAAAACGGAAAACTGACTTCCAATTTGTAAATAACCAAATAAAGTTCAGGGGTGGGGCTGGTTTAATTTAATACAATACAATAAAATTAAATGATAAATTGTCATTACCTCCAGTGGTTTTGTGAAATATAGACATTTAACAAGCTGCAAGTGGTGGGAAGATTACAAAAATAAATTAAACTAGTTTTTCCCCAACATTTGCAAGGAAAAATACTGCAAGGGAGAAATACATTTGTATTTTTATTGTGTAATGATTTGTAAATTGTGCATATTTTAATTTATAGTTTTCATTATGTGAATTTGGGGTTTAAGCTTGTTTATTTTGATTTATAGGTTGGATGTACTTTAATAAATAGAAATGACCAATCAGGGACTGGGATTGTAAATTAGCTGTAGCCGCTGCATTTACATTAAAACATTCACAAAACTTTTTCTACGTCTCACTAATGAAGAAAAAACACAATTTTGCAACTGTGTTGTTCCAGTAAGAAACATAATAGTTTGTTCACAAAAACATGCTGCGCCGTCATCCTCCTCCTGCCGCTTTCTGTTTTCTTCTTTGTGGTTTCTGCCAGAGGAAACATCCAGCTGTTGATCATGTGACTCCCTTGAGGCAAAAAAATAATTTCTATTGCAGTTTTGCGCAATAACCCATTTTCAATACAGTGGCAAAACATTTTAGCCAAAAATCGTTGTTTTTATTTCAATATTTGCATTTTTCCATTAAGTTAGTTTGAGTTTTATTGATAATAGAAACTTACAGACTTCTTCTGTTTGTCTGCGTTGTCCCTGTCGAGTAAACTAATAAATTAAATAAGAATTTCACAATGTTTTGGCAGCAAAATCAAAAATATAATTGATAATTGTCATGTTTTCCTAAAGTTTTTAAAGCTCCTCTGGAGACCATTGTGTCTTAGAACATGTGTTCCAACATTTAGGGTAAAAATAAATGAATCCAGTCACTTGCCCAGCAGAAGAAAACCCACTCATTTGCTCAGATTTCTCACCCCTGACACATCGCTTCTCCACACTCACACCGAGCAGATGCACAAAGGGCAGCCACTATTCCGGCTCTTTCTCTTCACACACTCCCTCTGAAGCCATCCTCAACAGCAAGTGCAACTTTCGCAGCTTCGGCCGCGGACAGCGACTGCAGATGAGGGACGAGCGGCCTGTTCCTTCGCTAACTTAGTCATCTTATTGCAGGGAACAGAGCGCTCATCATCATCTGGTGTGAAAGTTGACAAGAAAAGAAATTGCACCGACAATGAGACATGAATTGTGTTTGTCTCACATGTGAATAAGCAGCTTATTTTTGGACCAATTCAGGGTTATTTATTGAAAGGGAGGAGAAAGTGGTTCGTTTTATAGGAGAAATTTTCTCAAGGTAAGCATAACTGAATGATTTGGGTTTATTTTTACACTTGGAGTCAAGGTCTGCACTCAGCTTCTTGTGAGGAAGGAGCTAATCTGTCGCGTAGCAACACCTCCCACTCCTGCATTGAAGCAAGAGAAAGAGGAAGGGAATAACAGAA